CCTTGGGTGGTGGTAAAACCCAGGTGAGACATAGAAGCTGAGCTGAGCGACTGGATGATCTAGCACTAGACTGAGGCTGGGACTCATAAGAATCCAGGAACAACCCATCTGAGAGACTAAAGGGTCTTGTTATGCTCCTTGTCTTCCTGCTTTTGTCTACTGAGGAAGCCCTTTGGCAGCATATCCAGCGTGGGACTACAACATATAAGTGATTTTTTTTTTTTCCTTTTGTCTTTTTTTTACTGACCGGTAACGGTATCGCAACCCTCAGCATCGCAACCGCACCACGCCCAGCCAGTGAGCGGGAACGGGTCACCACATGGGATCCGAACCCTCGGCAGGAGCGCTGCCACGCTCCCAAGCAGCACACTCTCCAGTGCGCCACCGGGCCAGCCCATATCGGTGATTTTTAAATAGACGCACTGCTATGTGTGGTTAAATAAGGAGCAAAGCCTTCAGATTCCTCTCAAAGTTCCCACACTGAGCCAGTATCACAGCCGTTGCTCAGAACTCTCCCAGGTCTGTCTTTGGCCACTTCCTTTCTCTCCTGCCTAAAGCTAAATGGTGCTGAATCATCAGAAAAATGTTTTGTCCTATTTGGCAAAGACTTATGTTTTTCAAACTTGATAATTTCTTTTTGTCTGAACTTTTTTGTTAATTTCTGATGGGTCTTTTTTTTTTTGTCTTTTTTCGTGACCGGCAACAGGATTGCAACCCTCGGTGTTGCGCCCGCACTGCGCTCAACCAGTGAGCGGACCGGTCTCTATATGGGATCCGAACCATCGGCGGGAGCGCTGCCGTGCTCTCAAGCACCGCACTCTACCGAGTGCGCCACCGGACCGGCCCTCTGATGGGTCTTTTGAAAAAAACCTCTAGGTGTCCCTTCATTGTTTGCAGGGCTGTGGTGTGATAATAATAGTAGCAACAGTAATGCCTAATTATTAATTACTAACAACATCTAATAACTATCAGATGCTTGTGTTTTGCCAGGCACTGGGCTAAGTGCTCTGCATATATCTCCTGTAACTCTCACAGCCATCCTGGGACAGAGGCACTATTAAAATTTTCATTTTATACATGAGACTGGGGATTTAGGGAGGTTAAGGGACTTTCCCAAGATCATGAAAGTAGAGCTAAGACTCAAACCCAGGCTCGCTCCTCCCGGAGCCTGCATCTCTAAACAACTGTGTGAATCCCTCTCCTGAAGTCAGTGCTAATGTGGGAACAGGCTCCCTTGGGTGCTGTTCCATTTCTCTCTCTCCCCATCCCCAAACTCTCAGCTCTTAGCACACTCTCCCTGCCCACCCCAGAGGCTCCACTGTGTCATAAGCACAGACAATATTTAATTCTCTCACCATACACAAGAATGCTTTTGGCTTGATGACAATAGAAATAGTGTTTTCCTAGAAACACAACTTTCGTGGCCTCCTTAAGTCTTCTAACCTTGAAAATGTGACACTTTCCCTTTCCCTGGTTTGGAAATGCTTTTGGTCTTTGGGCCCCTGTCCCATGTCTCCATGTGCAGAAGGGTATTGGTAGCCAAGGGCTGGTTGGACATGGGGGAATAGGGTGAGTCCCCTCCCCAGGAAAGGGGTGTTTGCTGCCTACCAATGAAGGACGGCTGGAACAGGGTCTCTGGGCAGCGGAAGCGTTCGTTCCCAATGGTGATCACCTGCCCATCAGGCAGCTCGTAGCTCTTCTCAAGGGAGGAGGAGGACGCAGCAGTGGCCATCTCATTTTCAAAGTCCAGAGCTACATAGCACAGTTTCTCCTTGATGTCACGGACAATCTCACGCTCAGCTGCCAACCAGATACAAACATTATGGCAAATGTGAGGGTTTCACCGTTGGTAAAAATCCATCTGCCGCACTTCAGTCTCTCCCCCAGGACATGTTCCTTCAAAAAAGTGTCAGTTCAATGCTCTGCAATCCAAAACCCATGACGGTAATTACATTGTAGGTCCACCAGGGAGACATCTCTGTTCCTAGCAGAGTGTGTGACACATAGTAGGTCTTAGTAAACATTGTCTGGAAAATGCATCACAGGAAGAAAATGAGCTAGCTAGAGAAAGGCACGGAGTAGGGAATCCTTTCATGCAGTAACTTTTTTGTTTTTGCGGGATAACTAATCACCCTATGTTATAATTGTTTTATAACAGATGATTATACAGGAGTTTGAGTTGACCAGAAAGTCTTATGCTAACCAGCTCCTCAGGTACCTCATGATTTTCAAAAAGCCTTAGAGACCTGTGCAGCCTCGCCCAGGTAGAGTCCAGCTCACACCCTCGGCCCACTGATCACCTTCCAGAAAGAGGTGGTGCTGGCTCAGGACCAGTCCTGGTCCAGAAGGCTCCAGTGGTGCATATCGAAGTAGGTGTGGAAGGAGTGGGCAGGCAGATACATTTCAGACTCCTGGGCTCTGAAGATCTAAGTTATGGGTTGCATCTCAGCCCTTGGGAACCTTTTGGAGGTGTCTTTGTGGGGAGCAGAGGAAGAATGAAATTAATTCAACTCCAGACCACAAAAGGGGACTTTAACACCATCAGGGCTCAAACTGAGAACCCAGAATAAGCCTCAGGTATGTCCAGAAACTTAATCATTTGGACAATGCTAAATTGGTGAGGAGAGGACAGGTAGCTAGAGCCAAAGGCACTGAGGCCATCTCAACGTTCCTAGTAATGCCTGACACTGCCCCCTTGTGGAGGAACACAGGGTGGCACCGGCTCAGAGTCTGAGGACACGTACCCCTCCCTGCCTGCTGGGCTGGCAAATAGCTAGCAATTATTGAATGCTTACTCTGTACTGGGAATTCCACATGCATGACCTCATTTTATGCTCACAGCAATCATGTGAGATAGGGTCAGTTATTATCCCCATTTTACAGATAAAGAGATGATGGCTCAGCAAGGTTGGTTAACTTGTCCAAGGTCACATAGTGAATGATAGTTGGGTTCCATGTTCTGTCGAGATGTCTCCAAAGACTGCCAATACTACACCATGCCATTTTCAGTCTCTGCACATTCTCTTTTCTATTTGTCAATGGAAGGGATTTTAAAATGCTCAGGTAACACAACTCTGACTAGCTCCTAACACTAGACAACTCTAACTGTCCTCAAGGAAATAGTATAATTGTTTTGCAACTTCACATAGCAAAAACGCTATGTTTTGCTCTGTGCATTACAGTCAGGCCTTGCCGTTTGCAAGACTCCCTCCCATCATCTCCTTGGATGGTCGCTGTGGTCCTGTAAGTTACTGGGAACAACATACTGTCCTACACTCTCTCCCCTTTATTTCCCATGGGCCTCACCGGTAGTCACAAAGGAATAGCCACGCTCGGTCAGGATCTTCATGAGGTAGTCGGTGAGATCTCGGCCAGCCAGGTCCAGACGCATGATGGCGTGGGGCAGGGCATAGCCCTCGTAGATGGGCACGTTGTGGGTGACTCCATCTCCAGAGTCCAGCACGATGCCTGGGGGACAATGGGGCATGACAAAAGCCACCACAGCAGCTGGTGTGCAGTCACTTGCTGGTCTGGTAGAAGGAAGTCTTGGGGGAGGGGGAACTTCTAAGCCCCTTATTTGGAAGGAGGAAAGAGGGTATTTGATAGGAGAGGTGAGGCAGGGCAGGGCTTGGGGAAGATGGAAGAAAGGAGGAAAAGGAAGAGGGAAACAGTAGAAAAAGTCCGGCCAGAAATAGGAAGTCAAGGGCTTATTTTGACAGGTGAGAAGCTCTTTTAGGGCTAGGATCAGCCCTGTCAATACTAACTCACCTCAGTCCATTACACCCACACATTTACAGCCATCAAACCCTGTCACTGGCAGTGTATTCAATCAGGGCTCTCCATTGCTCCCAGCCACCTACCAGTTGTACGTCCAGAGGCGTAGAGGGACAGCACAGCCTGGATAGCCACATACATGGCTGGGACATTGAAAGTCTCAAACATAATCTGCAAAGCAACCCAAAGAGCTTAGTTAGTGATGTGGCCAGTCTTCCGAAAAGTGTTCAAGAGCACACACCGTGTTGAAGGATGCAGATGGGCCTGCCTGGTTCTGGGCAGAGGAGATCAAGGTAAAAGAGGCCAAGGCAGTCCTGGTCACTTGAAGAGGAGAACTGACGGTGTGAACGGACAGACCGTCACATCGGTGACCTGATGGGAGGGGGAAGGGAGGAGGTCGTATGCACACACAGCCTGGCCAGGGGAAAGGAGTGTCTAGCTTCTCTCTCGGGCCCTGGCCTTGACTTGAATGTGACCTGGAAGAATTCACCAAATTAATAATTGACTGATGTGAGCTTTATTCCAGGCTTTTCAACTGTAAATGGAGGAGGCGTTTGTACTACATGAGTTCTCAGGCTTCTTTAGTGTAGACAGTCTAAGTCTTATTAACAATATGAAAGCCAAAAAAAAAAAAAAGAAAGACAACACCTAAGTTTTGATTTCTCTGTCTGGCACTAAGAAAAAGACCTTTTAAACCGGAAGCTCCAACTAATTGGAATTAGCCCAGTGCTGTGATTTGTCTGAGGTTCCATTTAACCTCTTTTTATGTAGTTTCTGGGTCAATGCTTGCCCTAGAATCTGAGGCCTCTTTGGCTGCAGTGGGAGGGCAGCAGATTCCAGGATGACAGGAACTGATGATAATGGAGGACTGTGTACGACTGTCAATGCCCCAGCTCACCCAGTCAAGGGACGAATAGAACGAAAGCCCTTCCGGGTCACTCAGGAGAAGTTTGCACATCAGGAGACATACATGGGACTTCACTTCTTCATCTGTAAAACCCTTACTGGTCTATTAAGCAGAATGTCTGATATCATT